CCCCACCCCCAACTACAATGGTACTTTTTGCACTAGATTTTCACTTTTCGTCCACAGTCGCACTTTAATGTTTTTTTAAATTTTCATAAGAACGGTTGTGCGATGTTCTACTTGCGTTTCATTTCCAGAATTGCTCCAAATCCTTTCATGCTTGCTAACTCAAGTGTTCCTTTCGGCGTTTTTGACAGAAAGATGGTTGGTTTTGCAATGGGAAGCCAAGTCTATATATGGTTTAAAAAAGTCATTAACTCCTTTTGTTTTTAGTTTACTTTAATGTGTATGTGTGATTTGGAAGCCATTGAACTTCTTAAAGGATAAGGTGACTTCAATCGCACTCCTAGCATATATTCTTTATACAAATCCATATGATACAATGAATGATTGAAGTTAATGAAAGGTAGGCATCTAAGCAGCTTTCCATGTGGCATTTTGTTCTAAAAATCCCAACTTTTTTGTAGATAATTAAGGACACATTCACACGATCCCGTGTTTTATTTATAATACCCATCTCCTTATAATTGCAAAACGTCCTTCTTTGCAACCGTTAGATTGAAATTACGTATCTTTACCCATCATTCTCTTAAAAAGAACTGATTATATTGACTTAGGTAGTTGGGTGCTCAAGATTCTCTTATGAACCCCCAACGGAGCACCCTCTTATATGACTTCTAGTAATAGAAAATTATTCCATTTTGTTTACATTGTATTTATCAGAAACACTTCAATACAATACAAAGAAAGTCTTAGAAGTTAAGATAATTTTGTTTATAGCCTTTGGTCCGTTCAGTTTAAAGATTTTACATTTTTATTTTATGGGTCCTGTGCACAAGCCGTGTGTCTTCATGGAAACAACCATTCTACTCATTGGGATGGAGGTCAAGTCTGCGTACATCTCACCCCCCCCCCCCAAGCCCACCTTCCAATGGGATATACTGAGGTTGTTTGGTTTTGTTCGGTTTTATTCAGTGGGTCCTATTTATATTTATAATGTGCAAAGAGAAATGAAGATGGGACTATGGGTCCATTTGCTTGATGTGAACCAAGATAGCTATGTTTTATCTTATCTTTTGCGCATACTGAAATCGTCAATGTTTTAGGCTCACTCATGGTTTGGATTACAAAGGGAATGTGTGTGGTGACAAGCATGGAAGTCCCAATCTTCATGGGTTGGGAGTGAGATATTGGGTAAACCCTAATCAAGTATTTGAAAGTGGCTTCAAGGATAGTCATGCCGACTTAGAAGATTTTAAAAGCATATGTTTGAAGGATTGTCCGATGCCATCCGAAGATACTCTCAAGTGGGTTTGTAATTATCCTGAAGGGGATGATATTCGCCTTTCGATGGATCAGTGGGTGAGTCGGGATTATGATTATTTCTCTTTCTTAACACCCGAGATGAGAAAATCTTCCCTACAACTTCTTGGTCCATGCTATCCCGTCCTTTTCCCGAGTGTAAACGGTAAGTGCTAAAGAAAATCTTGTTTTGTTTCAATTCAAACACATTTCATGGAACAACTACTGTACTCTTTGGGGTAGTGATCAGGTTTGCATGCATCCCACCTCGCGGAGACCCCACCTCTGGTGTAAGGAGAATAGAAAATTTAACCATGGGTCCCACTTATTATTATTATTGTTATTATTATTATCTATACTATATTATAAAGCATTTGGGTAAAGTCTTAAAAACCACTTTTGATGCATTAAGTATCATTAATCAAAACACATTACTTAAAATTCAAGATTACATGTTAATGATGCACCGGTGCATATTCTTAAAGATTCATATTTGAATTCATATAACTAACTGATAAACATTATCAAATACAAGATAAACATGGTTCATTGCATTGCATTGCTTGAGTAGACTTCTAGTTATTTTGAAAGTATGTATATATATATACATGGCAAATACCTTGACCCTCTGAGAGGTTGAACTCTACCGGTGACCCGAGTACTCGTGGGTCCCACTTGCTCTTAGGAGAATTGGATGGGACCCACAAAATGGAGAGTGGGGTAAATGAATTACTTCTAATCATACCGTCACACTTTTGCAGTTTTGTGGAGTTGCGAATTCATGGAACGCAAATCAAATGTATCTCTTCAACAATGGCACCAGATGGGTGGACAAACCGTTGATGACGGAATGAAATTAGATAAAACGGTTCATAAGTCCATAAACTCCGGATCATCTGTCTTAAAGGTTTGAAAATCTATCTTTATCAAGTAGTTAAAATTCCCGATACCTATTAATCCACTTTCACAAATATCGTCATGTGTGCAACGGCGATCGTATAATTTCCCGTTACACAACTTTCCACATTTCTATTGTAGTTTGTCTCGAAAAAAGTGTCCACTTTAAAAAGGGACGTACTTTCCAATTCTATCCTTAATTATGAGATGGAGAAATTCATTTCCCCCATTATTACTAAGGGTAAAATTGTTATTTAGTTAATAAAAAAGTGTAATAGTTACACATTTCTAAAACTGTGTGCCTTTTGCATTGTGGAAACTTTTACCCTCTATCACTAAGGGTAAAATTGTCATTCAGTTAATTAAAAAGTGTAATAATTAATTACACATTTCTAAAACCGTGTGCCTTTTTCATTGTGGACAATTTTACCCTCTATCACTTAGGGTAAAATTGTCATTTAGTTGATTAAAAAGTGTAATAATTACATGTTTCTAAAATTGTGTACCTTTTTCATTGTGGACATTTATTTCGGGACGGAAAGAGAAATAAAATTAAAACTATACGTATTTGTTTCTGCAGCGTTATGCGGCCGATATCGGGAAAGCATGGCCCGTCTTGATTGTTTGCGGAGGAATCATACCGCTAATTTTATCAGTGATATGGCTAGCCATGATTCAACGTCTTGTTGCTGCAATGACTTGGATAACGGTCGTCCTTTTCGATATTCTCATTATTTCCGTCACCATGTTCTTCTATTTGAAAGGTTTGCTCTTCTTTATAATTTCGTTTACTAGAGCTTTATATTAGTTTTTTAATAGTCGAGACCCTTCTATGTGGTTGTCGTATTAGGGGCCATATCGGTCTATGTGTGCATATTAAGCACTATATTTTACTACTAGCCAAATACCAAAAACACCCTTGTATAACCACAAGGACACGACAAGACTGAGTGGGACAAATGCGTCTTTTTGTCCCACCAAAATAGGTGGAACAAAGTTAGGGAGACGGAACAGGATTGGTAAATTACCAAACTACCCATGTCAAATTAAACCCTAAAACCTTGCACAATTCTTTCTCCAACGTACCTCACTCTCTCCCATATGTGAACGTAAATATTTTGAGAACCAAGGAACCAAATATTCATGATGAATGTACATATTATACACACACATGAATGTTCATTCATTCATAATGAACATCCCTTCATTTATAATGGATGTCATGATATTCATTATAAATGAAGGAATATTCATTATGAATATTTGATTCTCATGGTTTTCACAATGCTTATGGTTCTCAAATGAACGGTTGCCAAAGTTTCTAAATATGGAAATGTTGCAAATAACACGGGACATCTTCATATAGAAACCAACTTAGTTCAGGCTTTACATAAGGCCGTGTAGAACTGCACTCAAGAACTTAAAAAGAGTCGTAATAGAGAACTTCCGTCTTATATTTGCAATGTTGGTTTCTAAACAGCTAAACAAATATCGAGCTGAATCTTGTTATTACTTTCATACCTTCAGCTGGATGGATCGGAAATGATGCCATCTCCCCAATCATCGGCAAGCACGATCCGTATTATCACTTATCCGGGCGAGTATGTACACGTGTCATATAAATTACAAACCACTTCCCTTTTCGTGTTTTATTGTCTGTATCAATTGAATTTGCATTTTTGCTTCAGGAACGAGGCCATCTTCATTTTGTTGCAGCTCTTATGACAATCGTTATGGCGGTAGCCGTCCTCTCATCCATCGCCATTGCACGACGGATCGTTATGGGAACCGCCGTCCTCAAGGCAAGAACAAGAATCAAATGGTTTCCCAAAAGTACCCTTAAATTCAAGATTCATACCCCACCTCCGGGTGGGATATACCAGGGCCGTTTTGTTTGATTTACCCTTGAATTCATGATTCAGACCCCACCTCGGGGTGGCATATATCGTCTCGTTTGGTTCAGTTTACCCTTGAATTCAAGATTCATAAATATGTATGACTACTTTTCTCTAAGATTCGTTTGATATGCAGGTTGCATCGAAAATTATAGGAGAAGTAAGGGCGTTAATTATTTTCCCGATTATGCCGTATGCTCTTCTCGCCATCTTTTATATGATTTGGATATCCGCTACCCTTTACCTCCTTAGCTCGGGCCAGGTTATTCGAGATAGATGCAACGCCAATTGTTGTGCTTACGATCTTCGCTTGAAACAAGTGAATTGTGAGCGGTGTTGTGGGCATACCATCCACTACACTCCTCATATCGGGCTTGCGATCGCGTTTCACCTCTTCGGGTGGTATTGGGTCACACAATTCGTCAAAGCTTTTTCTTCTACCGTTATTGCGGGATCAGTTGCTTCTTATTATTGGGCTCACGGCGAAGTTCTTGTAAGCGATCCTATCTCTATTTTCACACATTAACTTTCCCAAAAGCCGGGGATTTTCATGGAAATAATTGTTCTACTCTTTGGAGCAGAGGTCAGGTCTGCGTACATCCCACCTACAAGTGGGTTTAATGATTTTCCGGGTTAGAGTCGTCGTTTTATTACTTCCTCTATTAAAGGGTAAAACTGTAATTTAGTTAAGTAAAAAGTGTAATAATTACATATTATCAAATCTATGTGCCTTTTTTTTATTGTGGATATGTATTTTGGGACGGAGGGGTATAATTGACATTACACTATGAATGCAGCAAGAAATTTCGTTTCTTCCAATATTCTCTTCGGTAAAGAGGCTTGTGCGGTATAATATTGGGTCGGTGGCTGCGGGCTCTCTTATAGTCTCGTTCGTCGAGTCCTCGGGCCGGATACTAAAGCCACTTCGCCGGAAACTGATGGATGTTGACGTTAGTACTCATAACCGGCTCGGAAAAGCTTTGTCCGTTTCTTCCCATTATGCCCTTACGTTTATCGAGTGGGTCATCCGATCCGTGAACCACAATGCTTACATTATGGTATATATATTGTTATTTCTGTTGTCTCCATTTTACGGGTTTCGTCTTCGTTTTTCCGACTCCAAGAAAAGTGGTCCTACAAATTGTTGTTCTTTTTGTTTGCAGATTGCCATCACGGGTGAAAGCTTTTTTGCGGCTTCGGCAATGGCGACAGAGCTGATTAGGAACAATATTCTACGAATCGGGAAAGTGAATGTGATCGGAAACGTTATTCTTTTCCTCGGGAAGTTATGTGTTAGTCTGGCGAGTGCTTTGTTCGCATTCCTCATGTTGGATACTCACGCGTATAAATCCGCACACAATAAGGTCTCGTCACCGTTGATCCCGGTGCTCGTAAGTTTTCTAACCGCTGTTCATGTCAAATTCATCTGCTCTACTCTTTGGGGTAGAGATCAGTCTGTTTAATCTTACCCTGCGTCAACCCCACCTTCAGATTGGTGGGATATACCGGGTTCGTTTGGTTTTTCATGTCAAAGTTATTCGTGAACTATAGAAAAATAAATCTCAGATAAATGTTATTGAATATTTTAATTCATAAAATTAATATTAAAATCTCTGAAATAGAGAAGCTGTTGGAGATGAACCTTAGAGGTTGTTTGTTTACCTCTTAATAGTTCCATTAAGAGGCAACCTCTGAATCGTTAGGAGGTGAATATTGTTTGGCAAAAAAAAAAAGTTTGTCCTTTAATGGTTCTAAAACCCTCTGAATGAATTTGTATCATGGGTCTGCCTTAACCATTCAGCGCCATAATTCCATTGTAAACAATTACCGAACGATTATATTTCATTTTGCACTATATCATGAGAGCCTCTTAATCATTCTAACCACTTAATCATTTTGTACCAAATCATTCAGCAACTGCCAAACTGCCCCTAAAGTCTTTTTTTTGTGTGTGGAGATTTTGACTTTTGATTATCTATTTTAGAGAATCTGTTGGAGATGCTCTCAATAACCGAATATGTGGTTCTTTAACTTATACAGGTATGTTGGGGTCTCGGTTTTGTGGTGGCGACCCTATTTTTCGCGGTGGTAGAGGTGTCGATAGACACCATCCTACTTTCATATTGTCAAGATTCCGAGGGGCATCGAGGGACTACGCAATACGCTGCGCCTCTTCTCCTAGAAACCTTAGATGATCAAAATGAACATGATCAATAGCACCAAGTAGTCTTGAGTTTTCTTGCTATCGAATTTTGATGTACAACATTTAAAGCACACGAAACAATATCGAGATCAGCAACCCGTTTTGATATTAGCATTTTTATAGGGCACTTTTCAATATAACAAGAAAAAGTCAACACTGAGGGTCAGTTCAACTGGCGATAAAGGCGAGGCCTTTTGGCTTCTCATAGGTCGCTAGTTCGAGGATACTTAGTGCCACTGAAGTTGTTCATCATATGTTGCTAGTTCGAATCTTTTCAGGGTTGTGGAAAGTTTCATGTATGATTAGCATGGCCTGATTACTTATCTCTATCCCCGTCGGGGAATATAATCACATCCTCATTCCCAACAGGGAGCGGGGATCCCCAATGGGGAAGCGGGGACTTTTTTTTTCTTTTTTTTTTCTCGTTTATGTAAGTTATTTTAAATTAAATATGTGATAGACCATACATGTTCAAATCTCAAATATTTTCAATAAACTTAAAATCAAAATGAATTTAATTTTAGACAAAAAAACCACATCATCATATAAGAATTAATAACCTAAATCCAAAAAAAAAAATCAATTTAAATAAAAAAACTTAGAGTCACATGTACCAAAAGATATCCAGTAATATGAAACCATATCGAGTAATATACAAAACTTATCGATTAATTGTATTTTGACTTGACATCCAAACTATTACATATTAACATTCAAAAAATAACAATTTTAAATTATAAACCTAGTTAAAAAATAAGAAATTATAAATTATCATTGTAGTTGAAATAAATAATATACATATATGTGTGTGTAAATAAATATATATATATATAGGGTTGGGTTTACGTGAGACCAATGGTTTTTCGTGAGACCCGTAAGACCAATTTATGTTTATTGATTAACTTTATAAGCTAATGATCTAGTAGTTACAATTTAGCATTAAACTTTAAACTTGTAGGGGTATTTTTGACCTATATATTTTTTTCTTTCTTTAACCTATATATATGGATCTAATCCAAAGGCTGAAAATTGGTTTTACGGGTCTCACAGAAAACCTTTGGTCTCACATGATCCCAAGTCTATATATATATATATATATATATATATAAAATTTATTAGTTAATATATATCACGGATACGAGGT